GTACGCAAACCCATTGGGCCACTAAGAAAGCCTGATGATTCTTTAGCGCTAACCGACAAAGAAAAGGCTGGCCTGGTGAACTCGTTCTTTGCTACCATTGGCAAGAATATTGCAACCAAATTACCAACACCAGCTGGGAATGCAACAATAGGCGCTTTTAGCATTCACCAAATTAGTGGATAGCAATTTTCGCGCGTTCTGATTGGCTCCCGTAACTCGGAATACCCTTGGATATTCACTGTTTTGCGATGGGATTCAATATGGCTTCTCGTTTCGAGACAGTTTCGAAAGACTTTAGCGGTAAATGAAGCAGCTGCACCAGCAAATACCAAGAAAGAGACAAAATTGGTTTGTCGGTGTTTACTGGGCGGTAGAGAAAAAAATTTCTTCCTGAATTTGCAACAAAATCATAAAAATGATTCCTGAAACACTGTCAATTGAAACGTAAACAAACTCTAAGTGACGTCTTTTGTTTACAAAAAGTTCCTTTTTGATTTTTATCCAACTGATTTGGTTAATACTAAAACAACTATCTCCCTCAGGGTCGGTTCATAGCGCTAGATATATACCTCGACTCTTCACGTCTCGGTATATACGCACCACTATTCACCTCCCCTTGTATAATAGATCATACTTAGGTAGTACGTCACCGCCGCTACAAACTCAAATTGAGATCTCTCCTCAAAGAATATGCAGGAAGGTCAATGAGCTGAAGTCAAATAAGTCTTCTGGCCCTGAAAACCTATCACCTAAATTACTAAAGCTTGCCTGGAACGACATTGTACCATTCCTGTATAGGCTATTCAATACTAAGCATTGAAAGTGATTCGAGCTGGAAAATAGCAAAGCTTACACCGATCTTTAAGAAAGACGATGCGACAGAGATAGGAAATTACAGGCCAATATAGCTACTCAGTGTTCGGATCAAAATCCCAGGATCAGAGGTGAATGACTCCCTGGTACATCACGTCTTTAAGGAACATGGGTTAGCTTCAGACAGACAACGGGCTTATCGACAAGGGTACTCGACTGAGCCCCTGCTTGTTCATCTTACGGAAACATGGAGAAAAGCTGTTGATTCGGGTCTCACAGTGGCTGTTGCCTTTGTAGACTTTCGCAAAGCGTTTGATAGAGTCTCGCATCCAGTCTTGTTGGAGAAATTAAGCAAGAACTTTGGCATTTGTGATCAACAACTGGGTTGGATTGCTGGTTACTTAAATGACAGAAAGCAGTACACAGTTGTTAATGGAAATATAACTCTGACACCATGCCTGTATCCGTCGGCATACCACAGGGATCGGTGCTCGGCCCTACATGGTTCTCCTTTTTACCAACGATCTACCGTCAAGTGTGAAATCAGTCTCCCTTTACTTATTCGCTGACGACACCACGATTTACTTCATTAATAAACGAACGGCAGATGAAGCGGTCGCTCAGTTGGATAAAGCCTTAGACGAATTGTATGACTGGTGTATTCTAAATCGCCTTACCCCACATCCGGAGAAAAGCGAGGCTATGCTAATTTGTAAAACCCGTGATATGGGGTCAGTGGCGCCAATCCACATTGGCACTAGGTTGCCATAACGTGGGTTAACAAATCTCGCTTACTAGGTACAACAGTTGACGATAAACTCTCCTGGGTACCGCACATGTTGGATCTCAAGAAGAGTTTCGCAAAGAAGCGAGACCTAATCAGGAGGTCCAGGTTTTTACCAAAGGATGTTCTTATCAATTTTTATTTGAAAGTCATATTGCCATCAGTAACTTACGGCCTCGTTCTGTGGGGGTCGTGCTCAGATGCTGACTCTGTTCGATTCGTTGGAACGATTGCATTGTAGGGCGGCAAGGATAATTTTCAACTTACCAAAGGACATGAGATCGTTGGACGTGTTAAAACAAGCTGATTGGCTCCGTCGGGCTATAGTTATAAGCTAGCTTTGTTTAAAAAAGCTTAATATGCATAGAGCATTTCATGATAAGCTCCCACAAGTGCTCTCCGACAATATTAGGCTGATTTAGCAACAGAACGGGAACGTCATTTGACGACGAGAAAGCGCGAGGAAAGGACTAAACTCGACTTCCGGAGCCCAATTTGCCACTCTGCCATTGGTCAAGCCAGTTGTTTGATTTGCGCGCGCCGTCGTCAACTGACGTTCCCGTTCTGTTGCTAAATCAGCCTATTGAAACGAAACGCGCTGCAGGTTACTCTTTACGAGCGCCAGTTTCAGCTCTAGCTATCGCTCATAGAGGCCCCGTACTATGGAATGCTTTAATTTTTAAGGACAAGTATTTTTTGACCATAAGTTATAAAGACCTCAAGAGAAAAACCCACTCAATGGACATTTTTAAAGAGTTGACTTTTAAAGAGACTGCGACAACAACTACAAATTTTAGACGTTAAGATTTTAATTATATTTGGGTGATTTTAGCCGTGAGAGTTTGTGATGAAGTACATATATAGTTTAGTGGGAGTTTTTAACAATTAGCTTTTAAATATAGTCCGATTTTGTGTTATCTTATTATGTATGTATTTCGTTCTTAGGTATAGTTTTTATGCACTACCCCATAAGCTGCATAGCTTTTAAAATCATCGTGCTTAAATAAAGACTGTCTGTCTGTCCGTCTGTCTGTCTGTCTGTCTGTCTGTCTGTCAAGCAACGCCGGGAGAGTAGCCGGAACTGGGCGAGATGTCATTTGGCAGACTATTCAATACCATGGAGGTTGAAATCTTGTCGAAGTTCCTGTTTCAAGAGGCACGACCAGTTGCGGTCTAGCACTTAAGGCGTAGATTCCGGGTAGCTTGACATCTCTCTAGAGTTAATTATAAATATCACGGCCAGTGGGTATCATAAAAGGCTAAATGCGCTGTCCTTAAAAGATGAAATTCGGTTCTCCTCTTGACAGGGAGCCATCCTAACCCAAAAATTAACTACTACTTGCCGCGCATCTTTTAACTTGCTCTAATTTTGCTCCAAGGTGTTGCGTTAGTGGATAGCTTCAAAAGTACCAATGCCTCAACTAATTGCTCCCTTGAAGCTTTGAGCATTATGTTCCTGATCTTCTTGATTGTTGCTAGAGCTGCACAGCACGATGATACAGTCTAAGTCACCTGATCAGTCCATTTGAACTTTTTGTTAGATCCACACACTAAGGAACTTGTGCGAGGTGACTCTTTCTAACACTTTTCCATTTGCACTTATCTGGGGCAATTGATTTTTTGATTTATGCACTCTCGAAATTTGGTCTGTGATTTTCATCATTTGCTTAGTCTCTTTTGCATTAAGGAGTAAGTTGGAATTTCTCGACCGGTCTTCAAGGATGCACATGGCGCTATTCAATACTCCAACGGTGGGGTCCTGTCCAGGCTGAGGGGCGCAGTGCTTCAACAAGGTCGTGTCGTCTGCATATTGAAATGGACGTTGGCTGGCCCCAATATCGAACCCTGTGGTAGCCCAAATCGCACTTCAACCAGCTCGGATGTTGTATCATTCACTTGCACAAAGTGTCGTCTCTTACGCAATTAACTTAGCAATTAACTTAGAATCCAGTGTAGAACGAGCTTTGGCAAACCCATTTTGCGCATTTTTTCGAGAATCCTGGTGTGATCAACCGTGTTGAACGCCTTTGAGAAATCTGCAAATATAGCCATGGTGAGTTCAACTCTCTTCATAGCTTGGATTATGTTATCTCTGAACTGTGGCAGTACCGTTTTTATCGAATGACCTCTTTTGTAGCCAGAGATCTTTTCATAAAATAGGCTGTGTCTGTCAATTTGTTCTATCATCTGGTTGAGTATCTGGAGTTCGTACATTGGAGAGCACGTTTAGGATACCTATTGGTGTACTATCACCGCAGGTATTTTTCTCAATGCTTTCATTTATTATGTTGTAGCTTGTTGGTCAGCGGTGAGGTGATGTATTCTGACACAAGCTTGATATATTTAGCACGGATTAAATCAGGTCCGGTTGCGCAATCAGTTCTGAGTGTTTTAATTTACTTCGCGTTTGCTTTAAATGTCACTTTACCAAGTACGAAGGAGTAACTTTCTTTGTGACCCGATAAAGAGTTAATAGCGGGGCTCCCTCGCGCGCGGAGCGCGCTTGGGACAGAGCCCCATACTCATAGAATATGGTCAACCTCTTTTCGTTTGGTTGTCACGTGACTGACCGAGCGTACGTACGCGTCTACAGATTCTACAGGTAGGGTAGGGGAGACTATCAAAAGGAAGGGAGGGGTGTCTCAGGTGTGTCTTGGCAAACCCATGTCTTTTATATTGGCCATTCACAATATGGTCAATTGACAGCTGTCAAAACAGGATAGCCACTGACCAGTATCACATTGCCATATCGAGGGCTCGTGTGTCAACTCATCAAGGTGAGGTGATTTATTTAGAAGCTGTCCGCTGACCAGTTGTTTTACTAGATCGCAATCAATGTTCAATCTTATACTTTCTAGCTAATTTGAGAGCACAGGAAAACTGATAATGCACACATCCATTGGACATCAATGTTGTGATCAATTGACAGCTGTCAAAACAGGGTATCCGCTGACCAGTATCACTTGACCGTATTGCGGGCTCAGGTGTCGACCCATCGAGGTGGTAGGTACTTTAAGTAGGGTTATTAAAGTGTATCAAGAATGCATTTAACATAATGTATTGACATGTATACCCATGTAATGTCATGTATAGCCATGTATTACCTTGTATTGCCATGTATTACCATGAATAGCCATGTATACCCATGTATAGCCATGTATTGCCATGAATTACCATGTATGGCCATGTAAAGCCATGTATACCCATGTAATGCCATGTATTGCCATGTATTACCATGTATAGATGTGAAGCCAAGTACAGCCATGTATTACCATGTATTGCCATGTATCACCATGTATAGCCATGTATTGCCATGTATAGCCATGTGTAGCCATGTATAGCCATGTAATGCCATGTATTGCCATGTATTACCAGGTATTACCATGTATTACCATGTATCGCCATGTATTACCATGTATACCCATGTATACCCATGTATAGCCATGTATACCCATGTAATGCCATGTATTGCCATGTATTACCAGGTATAGCCATGTACAGCCATGTAATGCCATGTATAGCCATGTACAGCCATATACTACCATGTATAGCCATGTATTACCATGTATTGCCATGTATCACCATGTATAGCCATGTATACCCATGTAATGCCATGTATTACCATGTATTACCATGTATAGCCATGTATTGCCATGTATTACCATCTATAGCCATGTATTACCATGTATTACTATGTATTACCATGTATCGCCATGTATTACCATGTATAGCCATGTATAGCCATGTATAGCCATGTAATGCTATGTATTGCCATGTATTACCATGTATCGCCATGTATAGCTATGTATAGCCATGTACAGCCATGTATTACCATGTATTGCCATGTATCACCATGTATAGCTGTGTATTGCCATGTATAGCCATGTATTAACATGCATAGCCATGTATTGCCATGTATAGCTATCTAGAGCCATGTAATGACATGTATAGCCATGTATTGTCATGTATTACCATGTATTATTATGTATTACCGTGTATTGCCATTTATTACCATGTATAGCCATATATTGCCATGTATCGCCATGTATTACCATGTACTGCCATGTATCGCCATGTATTACCATGTATTACTATGTATTACCATGTTTTGCCATGTAATGCCATGTATTGCCATTTATAGCCATGTATAGCCATGTATAGCTATGTATACCCATGTAATGCCATGTATTGCCATGTATTACCATGTAAACCCATGTATAGCCATGTACACCAATGTAATGCCATGAATTGCCATGTATTACCATGTATAGCCATGTATACCCATGTAATGCCACGTATTACTATGTATAGCCATGTATAGCCATGTAATTCCATGTATAGCTATGAATAGTCATGTATTACCATGTATAGCCATGTATTGCCATGTACAGCCATGTATCACCATGTATTGCCATGTATCACCATGTATAGCCGTGTATTGCCATGTATAGCCGTGTATTAACATGCATAGCCATGTATTGCCATGTATAGCTATCTAGAGCCATGTAATGACATGTATAGCCATGTATTGTCATGTATTACCATGTATTACTATGTATTACCGTGTATTGCCATTTATTACCATGTATAGCCATGTATTGCCATGTATCGCCATGTATTACCATGTGCTGCCATGTATCGCCATGTATTACCATGTATTACTATGTATTACTATGTATTACCATGTTTTGCGATGTAATGCCATGTATTGCCATGTATTGCCATGTATCGCCATGTATTAGCATGAACTGCCATGTATCGCCATGTATTACCATTTATTGCCATGTATTACCATGTATTTCTATGTATAGTGATGTATTACCATGTACTACCATGTAATACTATGTATTACCATGTATTGCCATGTATAGCCATGTTCTGCCATGTATTACTATGTATACTCATGTATTGCCATGTATTACCATGTATTACCATGTATTGCCATGTATAGCCATGTATTACTATGTGTTACCACGTATTGCCATGTTTAGCCATGTATTGCCATGTATTGCCATGTAATACTATGTATTACCATGTATTACCATGTATTACCATGTATAGCTATGTATTGCCATGTATTGCCATCTATAACGATGTATTACCATTTATTACTGTGTATTACCATATATTGCCATGTATAGCCATGTATTACCATGTATTGCTATGTATAGGCATGTATTACCATGTACTGCCATGGCCATGTAATACTATGTACAGCCATGTATTGCCAGGTATTACCATGTATTACCATGTATTACCATGTATTACCATGTATTCCCATGTATAGCTTTGTATAGCATGTATAGCCATGTATTGCCATGTATTACCATGTATTGCTATGTATAGTCATGTATTACCATGTACTGCCATGTGTAGCCATGTATACTATGTACTGTCATGTATTGCCATGTATTACTATCTATTACCATGTATTACTATGTTTTGCCATGTATAGCCTTGTATTGCCATGGAATGCCATGTATAGCCATGTACTGTCATGTACAGCCACGTACTCCCATGTATTACATGTATTGCAATGTACTGCGTGTATAGCCATGTATTGCTATGTATTGCTATTTATTAACCTGTATTGCTATGTATTGCCGTGTGTAGCCGTGTATTGACCATGCCATGTAGTTGGAATAAAGTCAGTGAATTGGAAAGTCTTTTTTTTTTCTGTTACATAGTTCAGGGGTAGCCCAAGAAAAGGCTCTTTTTCCGAATGAAAATGTAGTTTTTGGGGGAGGGCAACGTTCTTTCAGGATTGTAAACGGATACTAGTTGACAAAGATATTCAAGTGCCATTCGTCACTTTAGAAAATACCCTCGTTAAAAGTCAGCTAAGAACTTATTGGCCCCCAAGAGCTGGGATTTCGCCCATAAGGCGAAATTCCGAGGAAGCACTCTATTAGCTCGCCCGTTTATTACGGAAAGTACTTGCAGTTGTTATTTATAGTCAGTATACCAGAAAAAAATATTGATTTATTTTATAGATAGGGGCCGCAAGGGATAGGGGGTTAACGTTTTCTTTTGTTCGCGCCCGTAAGTAAGACAGAAAATCCCGAAGGGACCACAAATTGGTAGATTTTTTGGTCTTACTTCGTTTACCTTTTGCGTTACGCGTTATCAGTGACATTTTGTGGAGCAGCTGTTTTGAAAGTTACAATCGTTAAGCGCAGTTGAAGTTATAAGTTTCGTATAATTGTGTGTATATAAACTTTTGAAGAGTTTGCCAGACATGAGTTCGCAAATATTTGATTGGAAACAATTTGCCAGAAACTCTTTCTCTCCCTTTGAATTCATGCAAACATTAAATTTAATGACAACTGAGTTGCAATATTTGATAGTCGAAAGATCCAACAATTATCACTTTTAAAAAAATCTTATCCTTTCTTTAAAGTCTTCTTCTGATGGCTGATAATAATTGGCCAGGTTTGTAGGCGCCCAGCTTCACGAGTTAGATCTACCAACGTTTCAAAATAGCGTACGTCGGTGTAGTTTCGGGTGTAGCCGAATTACATCCAGGAGTAGTTAATATAGATAATATCGGTATCGATGTAAATCGTTAGCAATCAAGTCATTTTTATCGATTGATAACACAAAACGGTGAAAAACTATTGAAGGAAAATCTTTTAGCCTGAATTTCAGACATCCCTTCGAGAAGAAGGGATGTCTGAAATGCGAGAACTGACTGATTTAACCTGAGCTGTTTTTGTTCAAAATGAAGGGTTTTAGAGAAAATTTGCGTGGAGAGGATGGCGGTGAGGGGAGGGTTAAGTCCATCACCAGGACCAATGAATCAAATAGACTATTATATTGTCACAGTCTGGACATTTCAAACATACCTCCCTAGATTCTATTAATAAATTGATTATTCAGTTGAAAAATGAGTTCCTTAGTCGTTTCCTCTAATAGTGTTAAATTCAAATCGGCATTCGTACGTGCGTAAAGAACAGTGAATATTTCAAGAAAACATCCATTCAGAACCTCTTTATTTGAACATATTTATAACAATTTTAAAGGCATAAGATTTATTTAAAAATTCAGGACAACTAAGCCGGCAAAAATTTCATCACTGACTCGCGCGTA